GATATTTTGCTGAGTGTGTTATTGTGCTGATATCTTAAGGACTACCGTGGACAGCTGACTCCTAAAGTTTTTGATATTCTGCATATTCTGTGTGGTGATCAGTTTACAGCAGTGATAGAAATTAATCTTTTCCAATAAGTTTAAGTTGATTTTTATCTTTTATGGGCGTTTTTACCTTCATAAAGCCATTTTGCTAAAGTCGTTTTCCACTTCCCCACATGTTCTGTTTAGTGCAGAACATGAATGCATTTAACCTGCAGTTACAAATGCATTAATACTGTTTTAATATTTTAAACATAAAACATTGAATACTGATGTTTGAAATTATAAAAAAAGAAAAATGAAAAGATACTTTAAATGTGAAATTAAAACTGCCAGTAGGTGGCAGCAAGTCACTGTTAATTAGTGAGTCATTGCGATTGAACCGAATCATTTAAACGCTTGATTCATTGTTGCATTTGCAACAAACAGCATCATGTTGCTCAGAGATGCAAATTGGAATTATATTTGTTGGCGAAATAGAGTAAAAACAGGCAATATTGTGTCTAAAACGTAAGTGTCTTAATATTAAATTCTTGTTTATTGAACTGATGTATAAAATCAAAATCACATTTGTAATCATGCTGCTTTTTGGTGGAAAAAACGTCAGTCTTCACGTGATACTGATTAACTATAAGAAATTATATACATATATACATTTCTGCCCCCATATCTTGAATTTTGTGATCATTCTAAATGCATTTTGATAAACTGAATCATGCAGTGAAAAAACGCACACTGGTCTAACCTACTAGACTTCCTATTGCCTTAGCTACACTTTAGCTAATTTACATGGTAGCTCTCATGAGTCATGGATTTAGCAAGACAAATTAACTATATTTGCCTTTTGTCTTTGGATAATTAGTTGTAAATTCGACGCACAGGTAGCTTAGTCTTTTGTTCATCACCACTTACCTCCACAGCAAGACAAATACAACTGGAAAGGGAAGGAGGCTCTCTGCCTGTCTGTGATGTACATGTTCCGATCGTGCTACACTGCTGTGCTGTGCGCCTGCGCGAAGATGCGGAGGGGAGAAAGGCATCGGAACTCAACAGTCTCTCAACATTTCCTGACCTGACCTGACATCTTGATTTTTTATTTGTTTGACAGGGAAAGCTGTGAGCAAAACAGAAACCTGCTCATGCACACATATATACTGTACATATATTAATTTATTTAAAAAAATAAATAAAACATTAAAAAATTAAAAACTCCCCTGAAAAAAAGGGCACTTGCTCTGGAGGAAGAAAAAGGGCAGGTGCTCAAGCCCCCTTTGATGTCTATATGTGCACGTGCCTGTATTCCCCTCCCATAAATTTTGTGCCTGAAAGAGAAACTCCTACAAATGCAAATTCAATAAGTTCAGGCGCAAAAACAACTGTGTCCACGCCTTTTCAGCGATAATTCTTCATTCCGCATCTTTAGTAAATCCTGACAGTACTATTTTAATGCCAAAAGATGTTTTGCGCTGGCACAAGCTGTTAGTAAATCTGGCCCCTAATCGTCTAAAATCATGTGATAGGCTTGTGTGACATCTGTTTTGTTATTCACAGATAATCTTCCCCTCTGCAGATGCTTTGAAATGGAGTCCAAAATTTTATTAACCACACAAATGCTACATTGACACCATTTGACCCCAAACTGTGTTGGTTCTTGCATGTTTCCATTGATGTTAATGACATTTCAGAGCTATAGGTGTAATGATGAGTCAATGGAGTGAGGATCCATTTGCAGCTTTTAATAAAAGTAGACACACAGTCCTACAGGCAATGGTCCATAAACCGTAACAGGGTTATCAGAGATGAGACAAAGGCAGAGTAACAAGACAGGCGAGTGATCGGGGCTGGCAGCAAGCAGAGTAAACAACAGTCCAAAAAACAGAGCAAGAGAGTCAAAAGGCAGGCAGCGGACAATCCAAAAACGAGAGAAATAGTCCAGGGTCAAACACAGTAATCCAACAGAGAATATGATAACGCTCAGCAATGTCAGCCGGCGCAAAAACAAGACTTCGCGAAGAGTGAGTGTGAGACAGAGGCTTAAGTAGTCCCATAAACAAGCATCAGGTGAGCTCGTAATCAAAGTCAGGTACGGGGTGATGGGAAATGGAGTTTGAGGGGAAGAGTCAATACTCGGGTGATGGCGACCTCTGGTGACGACCAGGGGGAACCACAGAGGCCGGATTCGTTACAATAGGTTTCAAATGCCAATCAGAGGAGAACATTTTGTCTAATGATTTGTCACACAGAAGATCATATTGAGACCATGAATACGGAGTGTGCTCCACAGAAGAATGCTTTTCTTTAGGGACTCATTTAACCACAAATACATACAGTACACTGTTACACAGTACACAGTACACCATTCTCAATTCATATGGTTAAAGTCACCATGACCAAATCAAGCAAGTTATATTTTTATTATCATTCCCAACTGTTGAAGTTTGCATCATCTGTAAGTCTTAAAAAAATGCAGAGATACAGAAAATTCGTTTGAGTTGACATGCCTGTAATGTTTCAGTTTCCACGCACGTGTGTTTGAGAAGCTGTTCTCTCAGAGCAGTGAGGATGTGTCCATGCAGCGCTACCTCACGGCTTTCCCGGTCATCTGTTCACACTTCAGTCAGTGTCTCCATCCTCTCTGTCCAGAAGAGGTCAGTACTGTTAGCCTGGCTTGCCAATCTATTAGACTTCTCTAATACGTATATAAGTAAGCTTGACCAGCTTGATCGTGCAAGACACTTTTTAGATATTCTTATTCTGTGGACCATATGGGCCAACTGATTCACACCTTTACAGACAAAGTTAATTGCATCTGAGGGACTGTCACAAAGTAAATGCACCTGACTAAAGATAACTGAAATACATATAATATTTCAGTACTGAACCACACATACTTTGACAGCATATCATTCGTAATGCCATTACTGGGTCGATTTCCTTGTTATTGTGACCACTATTTATGGAATCTATTATTGCCCTCAGACTGTCCAGGTATCCATCAAGCATCTTTTATTATGGACTTTGTGTTAAAAACATTAAAATTTGCTATCTTGTATCTCACAGCCCATTTGTGGAATCAAAATGATTTTTGTTCCAGTATCATCTAGATGCACGCACGTGATGGAGATTTACCGCTGATTACAGAACCGGCTTTACTGACGAGATGTGCGTTAAATATCGTGCGATATTTATCGTGCAGCCCTATTCAGGATCATTAGAAAATCACAGGTAGGTGAGTTTGATCAGGGTTGGAGCTAAACTCTGCAGCGCACTGGCCCTCCAGGGCAAGATTTGAGGAAACCTGATCTAGATACTATATGCCCCATTTAGTCCTAATGGCCAAAAGTGTGGGGTTTTAATGAAATTTTACCACAGATCATTTTCAAAGGAAAATCTGGAACACTATTTGCACTACTACTAAATGATGTTCTGTCATATGTTTCTTGTTAAATGCATGCGTGTGCATGGACTAGACTGAAGATATAAAGAATCAAAGCTTGAAGCTGTGTGTGACCTTTCTGGAGGAGATTTCCCGTCAGACGTGTACGGTTGTGCTGGAGATATGTGCTGAACAGTGTAACCTACATGAGAAGGTACATTGCAAGGTTGCTTAAAACATAGTCATGATTCAGTGTGACTTAAAGTCATGGGGATCAACCAACATAAAACCTAATTAAAATGAATAATTAAAGGGGTCTGGATTTAGGCTTAAGATATAATATCGATATCTCTGTATGAATATTATAGAGTGGACAGGCATTCTGCAGAAGAAAAAAAGCTTTATGAAGAGCAAATGGTTTTTAAAAGGGAAAAAAAAAACAGACAAGAAAGTAAAACCATTGTAGGATACTATATCATCTACACTCACAGTCATAAGCATGCAGTGTTTTTCAGCTGTGTTGTGCTGTGTTTTAGTTATTGCCCAAACACAGTGCTGAGACCATCAGTACAGCACGCAATAAAAAACTGAAGAAGTCGTTACCAAAGAAAGGAGACGTGCCTAAAGAGAAACCAGGGACGGAAAGCCTCAGGAAGGACAGAGTCATCGTCACAAAGTATGTATAATCTTGCAGTATCATTATAATAACAGTTAGCTGTAGATATGAACACTCACTGGCTCTCTTCTCTTGTAGTCTGGATAAGATGCACCAGGCACTGACAGAACTGTGCGCTTCCTACAGTATCTGTGCTGATTTCACCGTGTTCAAACACATCATTGTACCTGCTGAATTCCTGCTTGCACAGCTGGAGATCAGACTCAACAAGTATTGCTCATTTTTAAGTATTTACTATGAAACTGCAATGTTGACAAGATGAGATTGTTAAAAATCCTCTCAGGTACACACTGTGTCGTAAAGGAATACCTCAAGTCCCCCCTTTTTTGAGATTGCAATGAAGCACTTACAATGGAAGTAAAAGCAGAATGAAGAAGTGTATTTTTTTAGGTGTTATATTATCATGCAACATTATAAAATTGGACATAACTTTACACAGAAAAGGTTTTCACACTAAAATCATGTTAACACGGATATTGTTCACGCCTTGTGGTTATTCTTATGAAGCTGTGTATTTTAACTCTTACAGATTGGCCCCATTCCCTTCCATTGTGCGTGCCTCACTCTAATCTAGACTTTAGCTTCGAAAACCATTTCTGTGGTAATCAACATTATGCCTCAAGATCAACTGTCAGTTGAGCTTAACTTGTTTTGAACCCAGAATATTCCTTTAAAGGTTGTTTGAGAGAGAGAGTCAGCCTTCACAACTGTAAAATGTAAATGAAAAAGCATTCGCTAAAAACACACGAGTCTGATAAATCATTTATCATGCACTGCTTTGTTCATTCAGCATTATTGTGACCTAACGAATAGAGGTTTACAGGGTTATTGTGCAGATGGCCAATTATAAACAGAGAACTCACGAAATCGCCCGACCCTCTGACCTGCTGGCTGGGATTCAGGCATATGTTACAAGTCTGCACAGCCTCAGCTGCTACATCAACATTGATGTCACAAGACTGGTAAAGAGCGTCTTGTTGCAGCAGATGCAACCGCTGGACTCATATGGAGCACAGACCATCACAACACTCTATACAAATTGGTAAGTCCTCATGTAAATGTATTAGCTTACAGGGCCATTCCTTCTAAGCTGAGACTTTCCCTCACTACCAATAGGCTGTGGATCAGTGACCACCTTTCATGAAATCAAACCAAACTGGTTCCACTCTGACCAAAGTGTGCATGTGCCCGGTGTACATGGATGCCATGTGTTGTTCACACAAATGTATGAATGAACTCAATGACATTCGAAAGTTTTGTCCTGAAAAGTGACACCAAAGCATTCACCCCTGGTGGCTGGCTGCAGTATAGTTAATAAACCCTGCGCTCTCCATCTAAACAAATTGGATATAAGCCAAACTAAAAATCAAATTGCACTTAAAATAATGTTTTTCCCAAAGTTCTTATCATGCAGAGGTATGCTGTAGAGTTAGTTTTTTCTAATTAGTTTGTTTTTTAGTTAGTTATTTGATGCAGACTTGGACTCCAAATGATGTCATCGGCGCAAGATGACAGCCCCTATACCTGGGACATTTTGGATTCACTTTTAAATAGTGGAAGGAAGCGGAGACGCGTCATCCATCTTTTTTTACATTCTATGGTTCACATACGATAACAACAAGTGAAAAACAATGCGGGCAGACACAAAAACACTTTCGGTTTGAATGGCTGCTTCACTTCACAGCTGAATTTTCTCAAAGTTACCTCTCAAATAGTAGCATTTTGCTTCAATTGTTTCTTGATGTATGTCCCCTTCATCCAGTGCTGTTTGTTCTCTCTGTTTTACTGACTGAGAAACTGCTTCAGATGAATCAGAGAGAGATCTGAACAAATATGAATCAATTCAGACTGGTTTGCCAAGCTGTTTGGCTAATTCACTCAAAAGAAAGAACTGACTGATAATAATGATTCATTCACAAATGATTTGTATTGCTGGTTCATTCGACAGAAATAGGGACACATAATAACAGATGAAATATTCGCAGGCAAAACGTTTTTAAGGTCAATCAGAATGCTGATGGTGCATACAGCTGTACAGCTGCTGGTGCTGTCTAGTGCTGTCTGCATTTTCTCTGTCAGATTGGATGCATATCAATAATGCATTCAAAATGGAGTCCTGAATTACTGAAACACTGATTTATTCAGGAACTGCCTTTATGAGTGTGTCACTGAATCATGGAACACTTACATTTGTGCTGTTGTTCTAAATATCAGATTTGTGGTCTCTAATTTAAATGTGGTTAATGTGTTTAAATGTGTTCCTGGTTTAAATGGTTTCTGTTGTCAGGTTTCTGGAGGGTCTCTTGCGTCAGGCCAGCCGTGCTCTCATAGTCCACTGTCCTACCACACAGTGTTTTGTTAACCAGAATACTGAGAATGAGCAGAGCTTTCATGCTGAGGAATACTCTGACATTTGTGGTAAGCTGAAAATGAAGATAATATTTCAGCTAAATAACTAAATATTGAATCTAAATATTTTATTTCACATTTTTAATGGCCTACTGGATCTGTATACGATTCATCTTAATTTTCATACATGTATCTAAAGCATTTGTTTCGCATAATATTACATGCTTTTCTTATAATAATAATAATAATAATAATAATAATAATAATACAAAGTAATGTAATATGTGTGAAAAGATATTTAAATCATTCTGTATACAAGTCCACATTCCCTCTTTTTGTATCTCCTTACATTTTATTATTATTGTAAATGTATACATGGCAAAAGCCTTGTGATTTTATGGTGAATCTTAATTATCTTAATTTTCATACATGTATCTAAAGCATTTGTTTCGCATAATATTACATGCTTTTCTTATAATAATAATAATAATAATAATAATAATAATAATAATAATACAAAGTAATGTAATATGTGTGAAAATATATTTAAATCATTCTGTATACAAGTCCACATTCCCTCTTTTTGTATTTACTTACATTTTATTATTATTGTAAATGTATACATGGCAAAAGCCTTGTGATTTTATGGTGACATTTCTGTGTAGGTTTGCGATCGTTGGCTGAACTGATTGGCCCTTTTGGACTGAAGTTTTTAAATGAGAACCTCATGTGGCACATCATATCCCAAGTTGGAGAACTGAAGGTATGATGTCTTTCAAAATGAAGACATAATTCATCCTTTGACATAATTTACAAACATGGCTAATTAAATAGCTAATTAAAGTGTATAAATGATTGAATTAAATCATGTTGTCATTGTCAGAAACTAGTAAGTGACAACATGGATGCCCTGGTGCAAATGAGAGCTAACTATGAGAATCCTGAAGCAATGAGTGACCTTCAAAAGAAACTGACAGGTACAATTATGGAGCCTAAACTTTCGAACTTCATTACTCAAGCTTAAATCTGTCAAGACTTAGAAACTTATATCCTACAACCCCAATTCCAGAGAAGTTGGGACGTTTTGTAAAATGCAATAAAATCAAGAATCTGTGATTTGTTAATTCTCTTTAACTTTTATTTAATTGACAAAAAGTACAAATAAAAGATTCCCAAAGTTTTCACTGACCAATGTAAATGTATTTTGTAAATATGAATACATTTTGATTTTGATGGCTACAACACATTTCAAAAAAGTTGGGACAGAGGCAAAGTTTTGAAACAGTTCACAGTAAGCAGGTGAATTGGTAATAGGTCAAGGTATCATGTTTGGGTATAAAAGGAACATCTCAGACTTTGCAAGCAAAGCTGGATCATGGCTCATTACTTTGTGCCAAATTTCATGAGAGAAGTGTCAAACAAATCAAAAATCACATTTCGCAATGCAAAATTGCAAAGAATTTAGGTCTTTCACCAAGTACCATACATCATATTGTGAAAAAACTACATGTAGGGCAAGGCAGGAAAGCTCAGTTGAATGTGCTTGACCTTTGAGCCCTCAGATGGCATTGCATAAGAAACCATCATGCTGCTGTGTTAAATATAGCCACATGGGCTCAGGTGTACTTCAGAAAACCACTGTCATTTACCACAGTCTGCTGCTGCATCAAGAAATGCTACGTGAATATCTGATACTCTAGGAGAAAGCTATACATCAATTCTATGCAGCAATGCTGCCAGGTTCTCTGGGCCAGAGCTTATCTCAGATAGTCAAAAAAAGGAAAGGTGTGCTGTACTCAGATGAGTCCACATTTCAACTTCTTTCCGGGAAAAATGGATTTCAAGTTCTCAGTCCCAAAGACCAAAGGGACCATCCAGACTTTCATTAGCGACAGAAGCAAAAGCAAACGTCTGTCATGGTATGGGGTTGCATTGGTGCAAACAGCATGGGTGACTGGCATATGTGCGAAGGTACTATTGACATGGAGGCATATATATCAGACAACAACAATCACAGACTGCTGAGCATCTGAAGCCTTGTTTCAAGAGAGACTGGACAAAACTTTAACAATCAGTATCTTTAATTCCCAAACAATGAAACATTGTAATTAAAAGGAAAGTTGATGTGACACAGTGTTAAACGTGCCACTGTCCAAACATTTTTTTGGAGTGTGTTGCAGCCATCAAAATCAAAATTTGTTCATATTTACAAAATACATTTACGTTGGTCAGTGAAAACTTTGGAAATCTTTTCTTTGTACTTTTGTCAATTAAATAAGTTAATGAGAATGAACAAATCACAGATTCTTGATTTTATTGCATTTT